GTCACATGTGAGGCCTGCTTCACGTCTGAGAGGAAGAAGTGCGACGAGGTCAACGGGACGCTCTGTGAGGGAAAAAGGCTTCAGGAGGTCTGGAGTGAGAGGGCTGGAAACTGAACCTGAACTCAACACCGCTGGAAGGAAACAACATCTGGCTCCACATCTGCTTCCAACAGGTGAGTCAGTACATTTACTGAAGGTGTAATCTGACAGCTGGAGTTACTTCTTATATTAGGATCAAGTTTAAAACACTCTTATGCATCGTCGTCGCTGGTTGTCGTGTTTCTGATCCTCTGAGTGTCAGCAGCTTCCCAGAAACACACATGATCCCGTCTACCTTCTCACAGGTGTTCACTGTTTCACAAACCGAAGCACAGGTCAGAAAAAGGATTTGTGCATCACTGCTTATTTCTTTTTCTCATCTACACTGAAGCAGTTTCAGTGAACCGCATCGAACTGGTGAAGCTCAGATGATCGACCAGTTTCACTGCAGATGACAATAAAGATTCTCTTCTATGATTACATCATATAATAATAGAACAGAATAATAGTAATAATACAAATAACATATCAATACCAGCGGCATTTTTACTGCTGAACAGACGCCTTTAGTTTCAACACTTTCAGTAAATTTAGCTGATTATTTTATTATTAAATGCATTTTTATATAATTTTAATTCAGCACTTTTACTCATCATGGAGTACTTTAACGCTGAGATATTTAACCCCTGTTGCTCCGCCTCGTAAATCTACATAAATCACATCTAAAGCTGCCAGAGACGTTCATCAGGTCAGATTAACGGCGACACTTCTCACTCAGAGGAATATAAACCTCCGGCTGCAACATGAAGGAGTGTTTCAGCTTTAATTTAAGGTTTTCTGCTGATTAAATGCTTCAGAATCAGTCTCTGGATAAATCTGCAGCTCCTGATTTGAGAACTTGTTGATTTTTGGACTTTCAGGAGGAAAAAAAAAAGCTCGAGCTCCAGCTGATTAAAGCACAGATTTGTTGTTGCTGCCATCCCACAGTTCAACATTAATAACTGCAGGCAGCTGATTTTCCATTAGATAGACTTTTAACTTTATTTTATTTATCCAAAAATGTTCTCCTGAGGTCCCAATAACTTCTCACTCTGCCTCCACCAACTCTCCAAATCCAACTTAACCTGATGTTCATTGATTTCTGTCACTTTCCTTCACACATGTAGAACATCTCTCCCAGTCAGAGTCTCATCACAGCTTCTGTCACAAGCTGCAGCAGCTTTAATCCTCCATATGTCCAACACGTCCACGTCTACCTTCCTGTTTGATCTTTTCTCTCTCATACATGAATGCTAACGTCCCAGTTGGTAGCTCCGGGACTCCACCCAGAGAAGGCTATCTGCAGTGCTTTGTCATAGTTACACAACCTGTTTGATCAAGAAAAACCCACCAAATTCCTTCCAGATGTAGTTTTCTTTTCTAAAATACTTTAGTTATACTGTTGTGTTCAGTTCTGTGATCGACGAGAAGTTTTTCCTGTTTTACTTAAAAGTTTGTGAACTCTGAAGCTGTTCATCGTTGTTTTACTTCCATCTGCACACAGTCTGATGGCTTCACGTGATTTGAATGATTTATTAGTCAAATGTGACTGAATGGATAAATATTTTACATGTCACGACTACACGGTTTAGACTTCATCTGTGATGTTAAACTAAAGGTTAAGAGAACAGGGCTCATTCATTCCAACTACGGGACGTGAACAGAAAAAACAAAAAAATGCATTCTGGTATCACGGCTTTGTGTATGAAGGTGTTTCTGTGATAGCGGCGGGTCAGTCTGACTCACTGGACGTGACTAAAGGTACAAATACGACTTTATAACTGTTTTTGTTCTTCTACTGTCTTTGGGTTCATGTCTTCAAATTCCTCATCACGATGGGAAACAACGACCTCCAAGCTAGAAAGCTAAACGCTGAAGAGTTTGGTCATAGATTTGGATCAATAAGGCGATAAGGCTGCCCTGCTTGGTTCTTTATGGTTCTCATGATCCAAAGCACCAGAAAAGGCAGAAGCGAAGACTGCAGACTGGAAAATATGGACAGAAATACTGCCGGGTTTTATATAAATCAGCGTTACAAATGTTTTATTGGGTTCAGCAGGTTTAATGAGACCAAGTTCACAATCTTATCTTAGCATAGTAGCACGCTAACGTTAGCCAATGAGCTTAAAGTACAGGTAGGGATCATAGGATGGATATTCGATCGGATATTTTGTCATAAAATCACCAAACTGTGTCAGTGCACTGTGTGGGAGCCATGAATGTCCGTATTAGACTTTGTACCGCTCTATCTGATCTTATCGACGCTTATTGAGATGTTTAACTGAATTACTTTGACCTGTTGGTGCCAGAAAAGGTCAAACTCATCCCTGGTTACATCATCTCTGAAGCCCGAAAGTCTGAAGCCATTAAATCAGATCGACCAGAACTAAACGCAGACCGACACACGGCGAGGAATCCACAAACGTATTAGAAAACAAATTTACTCGGCAATTTGGATTGTCTCCTGTTCAACAAAATGGCAGCTCGGCGCATTGAAAAGGCTTTCAGACGGCGGATCGGAAGTCGATACTGGCAGCGGCTTGGAGGCTGTATAGAGCCGACATCAAAAGACACGACATGAGCTCGGTAACAATCGGCCGGCCGAGCGTATCGCTGCATGAACAGAGTGAGAGTGTCTGAGCCAGAGAGAAGAAAAGAAACAATAAAACAATGTGCTTCAGTTTCTGTTTGCTCAGCTGCTGTAAAAAAAAAAAAAAAAAAAAGCCGGCCTGGAGGCCAGAAGGCAGTCAGGAGGCGACCTGAGGCGGCTGCATGCCATCCTGATCCCTCTGAAGCCCGATAATGAACCAAAGAGTTGGTATCTGAAAGAGGTGATGAACTTCCTCCATTTCTATGTTTTTTATTACTTCTTTCTGTATATTTTAACTTGATCAGTATTTTAACTTTAACTCTAAACAGCACTTCTGTGTAGTTTGAGCCCTTTAGTTGCCTTTAAAGTAATAATCTGATGAAGATCAACACTAATCTCATGTCTGTATGCAAAACCAGAGGTCAATTAGCGCCGCTTTGCATAAACGCTAAATGCCAAAGGAAGCAGTGAGCAGGACACGACTCTGAGCTAAATGTCAGCGTAGGGTTAGTGTCAGGCCTCCAGAGAAGACATGCTGATGTTTAACAGGTTCAACGTCCACCGTCTTAGTTCAGCGTGTTAATGTCTAGTAATTAGCACACATCGTAAGGTTTAGCTGAGTTGGTCATCGTAGATATCTGTGAGGAACATTTTTACTGCTCGAAGCTTCTCGTCTACAGCTCAGGGGACAAAATAGTGATTCTCATCTAGTCGTCCTGTCTCACATTAGTTCTCAGGAGAAAAATATGAGCAGCGTATCAGAAAAAACTAAATTAAAACAAGGCTGGAAAGAGACTTTTCTGTGGGACATTACATAGAACTTTATTGGTTATAATAAATAGATGCTACATAGATCCATCCATCATGTCTACACCTTAATCCTCACCAGGGTCATGGGGGGCGGAGTCTATCCCAGCTGACTCAGGGTGAAGGCAGGTTCACCTGGACAGGTAACCAGTCTATCACAGGGCTACACTTAGAGACAGACAACCAAGCACACTCACATTCACACCTACGGACAATTTAGAATCACCAATTAACCTCAGCATGTTTGTGGACTGTGGGAGGAAGCCGGAGAACCCGGAGAGAACCCACGCTGCACGGGGAGAACATGGAGACTCCACGCAGGAAGATCCCGGGTGTCCTCACCGGGACGCCAACCGGCGACCTTCTAGCTGTGAGGCCACGGTGCTAACCACTGAACCACCTGCAGCTCATGCTAACAGATGTTGGCTAAAAGATAAACGTGTTGTTTTACACATAAAATAATGCAGCAGGTATGAAGTTATGACAACTTCTAATGAAATTAAGTTCAATCAACAAACTACAACGAGTTAGCAGAATAATTAGCTTTTGCCTTTAACTTATATTTCTTAACGTTAAAGTCAGAGCTGTCGGATTCACGGTGTGAAATAAAAAGGCTGAGAGCCACTTAGAGGACGTTAACCCAACATCAGTCTGTCTGAGTTCTGACAACTTATAACACCAACAAACTGCACTGAGTTCAGTGAATCAGCTTTTCTACGACACTCAGAAGTCTTTTTAATAACAACTGTCTAAAGCTGTCCGGGTTCGTTAATACAGAACAGACGACTTGAAATTATATCCACTTATTAAGCCAATTTATTTAAGTTACCTCAACTTCAGCTGAGTTTGAATTCAACATGATTTTAAGTTGATGCAACTTCATCATGTCACCTCCTCAGAATAATGTTTACAGCTTAACTTTTAAATCAGTAAATCAGATGTTTAATCTTAGAAAAACGCATTTAATGAAGTGGAGGGAATAGGTGACATGAATTACTTCTTATTCTTCCTACAAAAGTCTGGTAGCAGCACAGTCGAGTCCGTGGTTTGGTTCTGGAGCGACGTGTTCGTCGATGGTCCTGTAATCACAAACACAGGGTTCAGACGTTCATGTATGTTTGGTCGTCTCTCCGTCAGCTCGTGTCTCAGATTATCGGCTTTTCTCTGAGACATCGACACGCTGAATAAACAGCCAGAGAAGATCAGCTCTGTGAAATGTCACCCGACACACAGGCCGTGGATATTCAATAGCCTGACTTCCTATATGTTGGTCTTCTTGGCCACTGAGCGCGCCCAGTAACCCGAGTACGTGTGCATCCAGCAGCATATGGAGGCGGCTGAATTACACTGAAATATTAACAGTGTCATGGGCAGATGGACTGCTGCTTAGAAACAGACACACAAACACCCGTGCAGTAAAAGCTCAGGTATTTATTCTAGTTGATTCTTAACACCCAGCCTCCTCTGTTTAAAACCTTTTCCTGTTTCTTTGTCCCCTCTTCAGCCGTCCATCCACCCATCCGTCATGGCGGACTCGTCTCAGGGCTGGTGGAAGCTCACCTTCCTGAGGAGGAAAAAGTCCCAGCCCAAGGTTCTGTACGAGATCCCGGCCGAGTTCGTTTCCAACTCATCCTCTGGCCAACATGCTCCAGCCCCAGGAGCCGCGGAGGACCCCATGCACGACCCGCAGCTGGACGCCCGGCTGGAGAGGATCGTGGACAAGACGACGGCCGGCAAAGGGCGCCACGTCAAGGTGTCCCACTCTGGGAGGTTCAAGGAGAAGAAGAAGGTGCGAGCCACGCTGGCCGAGAACCCAGACATGTTTCCTGGAAGTGACCCGGCCGGAAACGAGAACCAGAGGGCTGGGAAGTGACGGGCCGCACCAGTACGTTGATGTATGAAGATGTAGCTTCATAACAGACAATCACAGAAGGACTCATGAAAGGATTCAGAGATCTCCATGTGTGTCTCTGATGAGGCCATTCTGTGGTCTCCTGCACACCAGAACGGGACAAAATCATCTAATCATGTGGTTCTTCTACATTTGCCAAAAGTTATTGGGTTGAAAGGACCAGGTTCTGATCATAGACTCACGGACCAGGTTCTGATCATAGACTCATGGACCAGGTTCTGATCATAGACTCACGGACCAGGTTCTGATCATAGACTCATGGTGAGGTGTGGTCATCAAATAACGAAACTGGTTTAGTCAAAGCGGCCTCAGTGGGATTATTTCTCGGCCACACCTCGGGAGGCTTTCTGTGTCATTTGGGTGTTTCTGGGCAGACGAAAGCCGAAGCAGCTTCACTGGCCGGCTTACGTGGACCTGCTGGGTTTAGGGGTTCTGTGTCATCTTCGTCCAGACCTGGAGTCATAATCTGGTCAAGACAAAGCAGAAGAAAGTAAAACTCTGAGTCAGCGTGTGGGGAAAACGTGCACCATGTGTAGCTGTAGTGATGCTTTTAGGTTCTGACTTCACTGCGAGAGTCAGCTGAAGATTAGAGGAGGATCTTTGGTCGGAGCTGCTGGTGATGATGGACGACAGTGTTTCTGAGTCTACATCCTGTCCTGGACACCAGTGGACCACCGCATAACTCTGAATGTGACTGCACAGCAACGTCCAGAAATCTACTGTAGAGAAAAGACGGATCCACCGTACCTATTAAAATAAAGTACATTTAGTTCCTGCACACCTTTAACCAATCAGACTGTGGTGCTTTTGGTCCATGTGCAATAGCAAGTCAGTGTAAATGATGGTGTTTGTGATCTATTATCGTGTTGTGTGCCATTTACGATGCCTTAAATCACTACTGGACAAACTGAAGCACAAAGAAACTGTTAAATCACCAATAACTGGATGTTTCTGGATGTTTTTTACTTGAGATGTCAGAACACCCAGATCACACTATTTTGCAGGTACCGTTCACATGCCGAGGTTTTTAGAGTCAGATTTCTCCTGCCTCGTCGATATATTACAGATAAGTTACTGCAAGGCCCGGTCCGGTCCGGTCACACCAGCAGTTCAAACAGCAGCAGGTCTTGGTGACACCAGATGGTTTCTGGTTGGTTTTAGTAGATTTGTCAAAGTTTTTCATATTGAATGGAGCTTTGGTGAATCTTGAACTGTGATTTTGCACCAATAGGAAACCATCCTGCCCTCCCTGACCTCTGATTGGACGATGATTGTTACGTTAAAGGCTTTTCTAGTGCTTCAGTAAAACTGTTTGATTTGAAATACAGTAAAATCCTAAAAGTAAACAGCCCAGAATGGAACAAAGCAGCAGTTCACAGTCACCACAACAAACTCTACAACCAACTATTTCCAACCAGTTGCTCAGATGAACATCTCAATGGCGCCACCTGCTGTGAGCAAACCTAGACTGCACCTGAAGCATTTGGTCCAACACATGGTGGGCTGATGTAGACTGAGAGCTGCTACTCTGCATTGTAATCGAGTACATTTGATAAATATGAGCAGGTCCGGTTTGGGTCCAGATCGGATTGGATGCTGTTCCAAAGCAGCACCAGAATCAGGACGTGTGCTGTGATTCATCAGTGGGCTGATTTATTCATATATGACCCTCACCACGCTTTTGAATTCAGTTTGATGGAAGCGTCCAGCTAGACAGAGGGCTTCAAACGGGTTCTTCTTCTTCACGTGTAGCAGAAGCTCATGCACGTCCATCCTGGATCAGGGCCTTAGATGGTCTGGTAGCAAAGCCTGTCAACTCGAGCACGTCTGAAACTCCAGAACTTCAGAACTCTACTGTTTTGTGATAATTCAGCTCAAAATTTGTTTCGAAAAGTCCAGCACTGACAGAAAAGCACCTCATTGTCTGGTCTAGATGTCATGGGCGTTTGTTATTTTTGCTAAATTAACCTTTAATGATGTTTATCTTGCAGCAAACCTGCAGTAAAGTTGTGTCTGATGTGGGAAAAATGTGCACAAACAGCAGGAGACAGGAGCATTTAACGGGCCCAGAGCAGGTTCTTTGATTAAAATCATGCATCTGTTGGTCTTAAAGTCACTCCTTGTTTCCCTTTAACATTTTAAAACCTTCAGTCTGGGTTGAACATCATCATTTATTCACTTCAGGACGCTGACATGTTATGTGGAATATAAACTGCTTAACATTTTCTATTCAAAGCGATTTCCAGGTCTAAGGACACTTTATGTTGCCTTTTATGTCCATTTATTTCATTGTTCTAATTCCTTGGCTGAGCCTGGACTACGACCACATCGAAGCAGGAAGCCTGAACACATCATCACCAGTAAACCCAGCAGATGCTTCACCCAGAAACAGATTCCTACTCAAACACTCCTCCTCTTTCATTTCTTGAATCAACAACATATATTCTACATGTTTTCTTTTTCCTGTGATGTTTTAAGTTTGAGCTGTTGAAAAGATGAGGGACGCTCTGAGGAAACCAGCTTGTTTTAGACAAATACAGAGTTTATAATCAGCCTCAACTCATAAGACAACGTCTCAGATTTTCTCTTTAAAACTGCTCCCACTGTTGCTCTAATCACATTTTCTTGGTCTGTCTATGGGACACAATTTGGATTATGTAATCTTTTTGTACTATAAATAAAATATATGACTGATTTTAACACCAAATGATTGTTCTTGTGCTTTAATTTGAGAGTAAATGCTGACATTAGAATGAAATCGTGGTATTGTTTGGTGAAATGGTTCCCTCTAGTGGTCATAGACGGAACTACACTTTTCATATTAGTGGATAAATACTAATATACAGGAGGTATGGATGGTTTATTCTGAGGTTAAATTCATTATTTAAACATAGTATTCTAGTGTTAACTGTTGAATTATACTACAAAACAACTTTACTCAGAAATCTGGACATAAAAAAATGTCCCTTTTAATGACACAAAAATACAATCAGGTCTAAAGATGATCAATAATTAAAATGCCATGACTGATAAAATGCATCTAAATGTACGGCTATGCTTCATTTAAATATTTTTTTATGTTTTTAAATAATTATCCTATTCTTAAAATGTGTGTTTTCTTTGATGTCTTCACGTTAAACACTTTAGCAGCTGTGTATCATTTATGTACGTTGGTTTGTTTTATTGTGGTAATTAGTTAATTAGTTTCCAGAGAGACCAAACTGACGTCAAACATTCACAACAGAACATCACTAGGGTTATTATTTGTAGTGAATAAACTACCGATTTTTAAATTGTGATCCTTTAACCTGCTAGTTAATAGAAAAAGGACCACATCGATGTACGACATTATTCAGTTACTGTTCTGTTGTCGTCCAGACCTGAAGTCAGAATATACGAGTTTGGTCAAAGCAAAGCAGAAGAAAGTAAAACTCAAACAACTTCCTGAGTTTTTTATAGAAGGTCTGGTATTTATTTTTCAAAAACAACCAAACTTAACTCTGAAGCACAAACTACAACCAGAGATATACTTGATTTATCTGATAGAACACTAAAGGGTTGTTCAGCTTTTCCTTGTTACTCGTTCATATCATTTCATTCACCTGCTTCAGTAAGTTGCATCCACAAGCCATCAGGAGCATCACCACACAGAGGCATGAGCTTAGACAGCTGTAGCAGCACTGAGGGCCAACACAGTGACCATCTTCTCCTCTGGATCTTTAATCTTGGCCTCCAGCTCTTTCATCTTATCTACTGCTGCCTTCAGCTCCTCCTCCTGAGCTTTGAAGGTCTAACAGGCGACCGCCAGCAGGGGCTTCAGCTGAAGGTGCTGAGATAAGATGTAATTATCTGTAAAGGGGGAAATGCAGAGTTTCACCTTGTGGTGAAGTTTCCAGCAGCCCCAGAAGCAGAAGTCATTTCCTCACTGGATGCATCACACATGAACACACTGAGGATCCGATAGAAGGTCCTCATGACACAAACATGCTGACCGTCAGTCCACCATCTCCTCACACTGGATCCTTATCAGAGTTCCTCTAAGCTGAGCCGTCAGCACGGTCCTGATCTTTGAAGCCACTCATCACGGTGTGTTCACTGATTAGCTTTAAAGCCTTCATGTTGTCTCTCCTCTGACCTCCGACCATCTGACCATCATGTTTAATCAGTCTGAGGTGTCCAGAGGTCGGAGGTCTCTTGTGTGACTAAAATCAAGACTTTAAGTTCCTGTTTAAGACGTAGTTTTATCAGCAAACCTCTCCTGAGGTTACTTGAGTTTAACTTAGTTTGAACCATCCAAACATTTTCACCTTCTCAGACACTGGACTGATGTAAGTGTTTCTACATCTGCCTTCATAAATCTGATGATTTTAAGACTCGACTGCAGCACTTTGTGTATTTACTCCGTAAACAAAGAGTTTTATTATGATCGTTTTTTCTTTTCAGATCCGGTGTGTGGCCGATGCGATGCTCCGTATCATCCAGGCCAACAGAACTTCTGAAGCTGGAGACAGTTTTGAAGGAAGAATCTTTCTTCTGTTTCTTGGTTCCTGCAGCAGCCGCCTCCTGTTTGAAGAGCCGAGCCGGCAGCAGCATGGAGGACGTCTGAGGAGCCCCACCGCTGTCCGTCTCATCCAGGGGGGCTTTGTTGTCTCCAGCCAGCCTGCATGCTGAAGCCCACCTGTAGGAGAAACTGCACCCATGCCTGCAAAGCTAAAGTTACACCTTCAGCCCTCCTGGGGGCTTCACTGACAGAGGTGGATGTAATTGGACATCATCTCAATAAGCACATATCTGTGTGTTTACCAGCCACTGACATCGATGAATGAACCCCTCACAGTGCCGGCTTGGAGCACCAGTTCAAAGTGGCCTCAGCTCCTTTCTTCCCCCCTTTTGGCTTCCTGAAGTTGGAGGACTTCTCCAGCTGGTTATCACACAGAGCTGCTTTGAAGTTGACTCACGCT